AAAAGAATTACACCTTCAATATATGTTAAGCATTTCATCAAACACTTGGTATGCATTAGATGGAAACCCATTTATGAAACACTCTTTCAACAACAAATAACCCTATTTTTTTGTTGAAGCATTTGTTTATCAAACAGTTGTACATGAAATGGTAGTGGTAATGGTTGTATAATAAACCATCCTATAGATATATGAAAAAGATCCAGAGAGAGCAACCTTAAAAAAAGAACTGGAGAACAAAGAAAACGAATGAAAAATATATCAAAATGGATGTCAAATTAAAGATAATAAAATAATAATTTTTTGGTGCAGTTTGTTTTGCACCAATTTTTGTTGATTTTTGATTTAAAAAGTAAGAGAAATATATATAGAAAGAGAGAGGTTGAGCGGAAAACCCTAAATAAATCAAAAAAAAAAAAAAACATCTTATCTAACGTTAGATTACTTGATCTAACGGATGTAATGAAATGGACGATTATAACAATATTTTTAAATTAAAAAAACCTCACTCTCTATTTTTTATTCATAAAAGACAAAAAGTAAACAAAAGTTGAGTGAAATAAATTACACCAAAAAAATATCATATTTTTCTCATTAATTTGACATTTATTCATTCGATTTTTAGTGATTTTTTGGTTTTTCCAAATATTTTCTGCTTTCTTCTGAACTTAACTTATATTTGTGTGTGTATGTATGTGTGTAAAAGGAAGAACATGCAAGAAGGTGAGAAGTACCAATGTCACACATGATTATTTGTGACAAGAACAAGCAATCATATACGATACAACATGGCCAAAAGGGATGTAGACGACTTGGTGAACACGACCAAAGATTGTGGGAGAGGTCATCTACTATAAGCCGGACAACACAACATGTGTTGTATCATATATGATTAAATGTTCAAATCACATGCAATCATGTAAGATTTTTGAACTTCTTGTTTTCTTATAAATTGACCGTTCCCGTTTCAATCTGACCTTATATTATAATAAAATAATTGTTGATGTGATATTAGTGAGAATTAATTTTTAAAATGGTGTGTCGATACATATATGTAAAGAGTAACTCTAAAAACTTAAGGGCCATTTGGTTCGTGGATTCGATTTTTTTTTATGTAATTGCAATGACAAAATCCCTTGACCAAAACCAATACCTTTGTTTGGTTCAATTCTTTAAATAGATGGAATCCTTCAAATTCCATTGAATTCGACAAATAAATAAATTCATCATTTCTTGGCATAATGGAAGGAATTGAATTCCATCACCACCTACCATGACCATGCCACTATTGTTTGTCACGCCCAACCCCTAATCCTCCACCACCACCAGACCACTACTGTCGCCGCCACCCATCCTACCCCACCACTAACCACCATGCCATTATTGTTGTCATCACACCCACCCACCCACCCTCCCTCCCTCCCGTCACTCACTACACATATCTACTACGACCATGCTACTATTGTTACGGTCACGCCCCTAACCTAACCCCCACCACCACACGATTATTGTCGCCTTTATAACTGCCACTCACCCACATCCCACCCTACCCCAACCCACACTAACCACTATGCCAATACTGTCGTTGTCATACCCACTCACTCCCAGCCGCCCAACCACCCAACCACCATCACACTACTGTCGTCGTCACAACTACCACCCCGCCACCCATCCCATCCCCACCGCCTCGCCCTGCCTTCCCACCTCGCCCCTAACCTAACCCTCGCCCCCACACCACTATTGTCGCCTTCACAACCGGAACTCACTCGCACCCCACCTTACCCTAACCCATCATTAAACACCATACCATTATTGTTTTCCTCATACCCAACCACTCCTAGGCCCCCAACCATCAGACCACTATCTCACCACTATCATCGTCAAACTACCACCCTGCAACCGACTCCTACCATCCCGCCCCGCCCCCTACCCCCGCCCCACCTTACCGTACTCCAACCCACCATCTTACCATTGTTTCAGTTCTTTTGAGAGATTTCATTCCAATTTCTACCAACCAAACGCGTGGTCAAAATTCATTATAATTCCATCAAATTCCATTCTGTGAACCAAACACCCCCTTAGTGATATATTTGTAAGCAGGGTCGATTGAATGTTTTTGGAGACTCCGTCACACTTGCATCAAGATAAAGTATAAAAGTTCACACCATATATTATACAAAATTCTTACAAATTAAAACAAAAAAGGGTCTTAAAATAAGAAAGTAACATGCAAAATTTTCTTAAGTAAAATCATTTTCTACAATTGTTTGAAAAAAAAATCTTCAACTTGCTCTAATAATTCGTTAAATTTAAAGACTGGCATATAGAAGTTTATCAACGGTCGTTTATTTCAAGTGCTCAAGAAACCATACCTCGGTGTTAGGGCCAAATTCTCACTCAACTCAGCTTTTCAGTGTATTATCAAAGGGATATAGTGCTCTGAACAATTCCCATCCCCGTCCCGGTCCTCATTCCATGCTAGGTTAATTTGTGTTTGTTCTTGGGTATCCATAGAAATCTATCCAATCTCCTTCCTTATCCCCGCTGGAATATGTGATCACATCCACATCCCCGTTCATAATGGGGAATGGGGATCGGCGACAAGTCATGGTTTTTTTTCTTGTTTATGTGATATATTTTAAATCAAATTTGTTAAACATGACACTCGATCTAAAATGGTCCATGTTTAAATCTTACATATTACCATACTTTTTCGATTTTATAGAATATCAAATATTCATATGTGAACAAAATCACATCCACCCACACGAATCAAAACACATTGAGTAATATCCAGAAAATTACATTATAATATCATACATAATTAGGAATAGGAATAGGGCGGAGACCCCAATCCCCACCATCCCCGATCCCCAATATCTGTCCCCGTCCTCGCTTGATCCCCGGCCTCGATCGAGGCGGGTATGATCAAACCAATCACATATGGTATTAGAATAAGAGTTTATAAAAATACAAATACCAAAATGTTGATTTAGTCTTTTTCTTAAAACTAAATTAAAATAAAAAAACATGCCTTAATTTAAATAATATAATAATAGCCCTTGTGATTGAAACACTAATAACTTTGTTTTTATACAAAAAGTCTATGACAATTGACAGAGTCGATGGTAATGGGCACATACGTCTCATTTATATTTTATCTGGATGTTTTAGTAGGCAATTCTTCGAAAATGCAACAAAATGCATACCTCGTGTCATGTTGAATTTATCACAGATAGGTGGTTAGGATGTTGAAAAGAGTAAAAGCGACACTACATCAAACCAACCGATTAATTATTCATATTTTTTTCACGTTTTTCACACTCATAAATGTGTGTAAAGCAATGGAGTTATGTAAAGAAACGTACCGAAATGAATTGTCCTATAACTTGGGGACTCAAAAATGGTGAAAAACTAGCGAAAATTCCATACTTAAACAAAATTGTCTAAATTTCTATATCTTCAAGTTCAAGGGTGAGGTGTTAACTAGCTTTGAGAAGTTTGTAACACCGATTTATAAAATTGGTGTTGAATTTGATACAAACAATAGTTTTATTTTTATGGGTAACGTCAAATCTTGCATATAAATATTTAAATTACAGAAAATATTTAAATTTTATTGTGTAAAATTTGGTGTAATTGAATAGTGTTACAACAATTTTGGTGCGTTACACTATTAATTACACCAAATTTAATATCCCTCATGGAAGAGTTTGATGTCAAATTTGATATTTGATGTAAGATTTGGTGTTCTGTTGAAGACGATCTAAGAACAAAGTTTTTTAGTGTTTTCATATTTATAAACATGAAATTTGTATTTTCCATATACTTAATAATAAGCTTAAATTATTTTTACATACATACAAACATCGTGACAAACATTTGTAATTTCCATGTATTTATAGACCATTAAAACCGCCTATAACTTTGAAACGTTATACTTTGAGCATATATCAAATTGGAAAGGATTTGAAATGCAAATCCCCAAAATCCATTTCATTCCTTCAAACCAAACGGGACCTCATACTTCTAACAAAATGAATCATGCACAAACTCAAAACTTAAACCCAATTCAACATGTGAAACCTCAAATCCAGAAATGCAAACCAAGTATTCGTCTTTGCTGTTGAAACTAAAAGAGAGTGACATTTGACACATGGGTCCTGTTTTAAATGCAGATGATACAAAAACTTCAAATGTTTGCATGATTCACTTGTAGTAGAAGGGACTCCAAGAAGAGTGTCTTATATTGCTGCTAACGTCAATGGTGAAAAAGAAGCGTGTCTCGTTGTCGCCGTTAAGAAACCATCGAGCACACTAATTGACAATCTTGAATGTGAACATAGTCAGGTTATTAAATTCAGAATTATAGAAATAATATATCAATATAAATATCACATAAAAAAACTCAAAAAAATTATTTTTTTTAAAATATGTAATTATATTTAAGATACTTAGGAGTTTATAGAATAGGTAAATCAATGAGGTTTATCTTTTTATTTAGTCCAAATGTAAAGTTTTACGTAGTTATTAGTAATGATTTCTAAACTCGAGTTTTAATAAATATGTATATTAATTCATGATATATCAGTTATGTATAATTAAACCAGTTAAAAATATATCTATCATATCAAATAGATTGAAATACTTGTTTTCGTATAATTTTTTTTATTAAGATATAATTGTATATCTCAAACGAATGGTTCAAATTGAATCGCATGGTTATCATAAATTACAGAGCTCACATTCAATTAGGCTTCTAGAAACACGTTGCCTCTCATCTAATTTTTATTTCGCATGCTTAATTTTCTATTAGTACAACTTTAAACGCAATAAATGATGTTGACTTATCTCAAAAAGTTGATTGTGCATGTTGAAAAATATAAATCAGACACAAGTCATTCAACTGTTCATATTTCTCGCACACAGACCCCACACACACTTCAATGCATGCAGAATTATGAACTTGACTAAGGAATCACCCTACATCTCCATACTCGAAGAGGTAGAAACTAGCTAAAATTATATGCCCAAGTTTCTACATCTTTATTTGTAAAGGAATCGACTAGCTCTCAACATCTTCACATGTGAAGGAATTGACTAGAAACATCTTCATATGTGAAGGAATCGACTAGCTCTCAACATCTTCACATGTGAAGGAATTGACTAGGCCGGTCTCGAAGCTTGTATATGCTTTAATTCAAGTGATCGAAGCAAAGAAGATTCATAACAATTGGGACCAACCCAAGCTTGGCACGGCTCAACCAACTGGACCATTGGACCAGACACTTTTTGGGTGAAGGGACAGGCCCATAGAGGTTTGAGGCTTTGAGCTTATAATGGAAGGATGATTACAAAGCCCATATTTGGCAACCTTGATGATCGGGCATAAACAAACTTATAGGCTATTTTCTTGAATAGCCATCTCATGTAGTATTTCAACAAAATCCAAAAGCTTTTTTTATCAAACATGACTAATTTATCAACTGACAGCTACTTTATCCAACTAGCTTGCCCCAAGCTTTTTGATCAACAAGTTGATGCCAATAACACTTGCCTCGATCTCGACACACATCCGACGAGTACGAACATTCATAGATACAAAGTAGCCGGCAAGAAGCCCTCTTGTCGGAGTTGCTAGCACCACCACCACAGAAGCATAGTCCTAAAGACACTAGAAGAGCATATGAAAGCGACGGACTAACTCCCACAGTCCACAAAACAACCCTTGCAATCATCTAAAATCGAATTGGATAAAATACGTTAAAGGTTAAACATCTATATCTATCGACCATACAACATGTGGAATATTACAAGATTCGTGTCCTATATGTCATATACATGAGCCTTACGTATGTATGAAGAAGCACACGTCCAACGTATTCCTGCAACGTTCTGAATTTTTATTCCATAAACATCTTCTTTGGCTCGGTTTCAAGCGACACCCCTGAAACCAATAGAATATAGACTCACCCATCTTAATTGAACGAGTAAAACAAGTTTCTAGCTACAAACACGGTAATTAACTTTCTATTTGAAACACGTCGTCGTTCGGTACTTTTTAACAAAATGCACTTCAGGTTCAAGAAAGTATGATGATTGACCACAAAAGTTTGAAGTATCCGTCACAACAAAATCAGGTATATAAGATGTCAAAAATGTCTATATATGATGCATTTGTTCATTTGTCCTAAACAATTCTACGACCTATGTAAATATCGCAATAAGTTTATATGATGCATCTGGTTTTGTCCTAAAAAAACTCACCAAAAATGTCCTATAAACTTATTGATATACAATTATTTAGTTCTCTTAGCTAAAGTCGTACAATGAAGTCTATTAGCACACTTGGACGATTTTTAAACCTATAAATAATAAACCCAATTTTTTTGTAACGAGTGTTATATAAAAATATATCGTTTGAAGTCATTTAAGAGAAAGATGAAGGATTAAGGACCTTGGACGGATTTAGAGCGACAAATCTAGTGAACCACCTGGTTCACCGATTCATGATAAGCGACGGTTTCCTTTAGCACTTTGAGTCTTGCACGAAGTTGATCACCCAAGTCACCGCCTTCTCTCTCGCTATGTTGCATTTGACCAACCTGTGTTTCTGTGCTCGAGCTTCCCCCACGAATCTGGAAATGTCCTGAAACCGAAACCAAATCTTCATATAATAAACGGGTAAGACACCACATCTTGAGGCACCCCTCGCATTGGCCCACGGTCATCTTAGACATGGACAGACCCAACACGGTGCCACTGTATTATTCCTCTGTCAAAGAGGTTCATGAGAGATGCAACCGTATTATTCCTCTGTCGTAAAAGGTCCATGTTTCGGGCCGACTTCCTTCATCCTACTTGAAATCAAAATCAGGTCTATATTAAAAAAAGAATACAAATGAACACTAAAACTGACCTGAAGATGGAGCTGGGGGATGATTCTTAGAACAAACATGCTTCTCAGCAAGCAATGGAGAGTACAAATAGCAGTCAGTTTCCAGAAACTCAATAAACTTATGATTGCTGCTCCCAGTTGGCAAAGCCATATCTTCTGGGCCTCCTACAATACCATATAAACAACAAGTGGAGTCAGGTTACTTTCATTGAATGAAGAAGATGATGTGTGTGGTAATTAATAAACCCTAAGATGTAGAACAGACCTGCAGAAGTGGAGATCTGTTTAGGGGGAGGGAAATCAAAGGTGGGTTGAGGAGAAATCAAAGGGTTATACATGTAAGAATCAGACAGAAGGTAGGAGACAACTTTGTTGAATACCAAATCTTTCGACTTTTTCTTGTTCTTGCGAATGATGGTGGGTTTCATGGGTTTTTGGTTTCTGATTCCAAAGGGTAATGACGATGAAGGCATCACAAGCTTCGCCGTTTTCTTGATTTAAAAGAACAAATCTTGTTAATTTCTTGCTTCTGGATTTGGAAGGGGTTGTTTTCGAGGGTTTTGGATCAGCAAGAATTAGGGATTGCACCGTTGGATGACGTGGGTAGAGGGGTGATTTGGTGTTGACGCGTGGGTTTTGAAGTTATAAATTGCACGTGGCGTTGTATAACATGGCAGCTGTTCGAAGGTGGAAGAATCCTGTACAGCATCTCCGATGCATACCTCATTAACGAAGAGAGAGGTTAATGACACCCTTTCTTTTTACTTATGGCACTCCTATTCTCTAATATAATTATTTTTTTTTATTCGTTTTGTGATCTTGTTTTTTTTGTTGTTTTCTTTTTTTTTTTAATATTAATTTTTATTTATTTATTTTATTTAATTATAAATATAATATTATTACAAATATTATATATTATTCNTTATCTGGATACTGCTGTTTGATTGTTGATAAAATATCTCTAGGTTTCACATTGTTGGCCGACAAATCTTCCACCAATCGAGCTTGAGTTTCAGATAGTCGTCTTGCATATGCATGACCCTCCAGATGTAATGCAAAGTCATGGTTATGTGCTTCACATTTTGCCGTTAATGTCCAACAATCATTACCCAAATGCTTTCCTACCAAGCAAAATGGGCAATTTGTTTTTTTTGTCCCAGGATGCTTACCGGAGGTTTTGTTACCTTTGTGTATACCACCACAATCACATTGCAATACAACTTTATATGAGTACCCACATGAGTCACTTTTGCTTCTTTTGATAACAATAACAAAACCAAGTGAAAATGCCACATTGCGTACCCAATCAATTAGATCTTGACGAGAATTAAATACCTGAAATTGACTTTTTTTAAGTTACAATACTAATTTATAATTGAGTTATGTTGTGGCTGAGAATTCCTCTTGGAATAGTATGTAGCCTCTCCCTTACCACTCATTTTATATATCCTTTTTTTCTTTTTTAGGTAAGTATATTTTTTGTGTCTTCATCCCCTAATGTGTATATATGATATATGCATGCTTCCCTCCAAGTCAAAAAAAAATAAAAACACCAGCTTTACTGTTTCTGTGTGCGTTATCAGCAACCACTATATAGCTTGGAAATCAGGGGAGGGGTCTTTGGGTTGTTTTAGTTGGAAATTAAGCGTAAGGTGATCATAATAGGAATAACAAAATGACCCAAGGTCGAGCTTCATTTATAAATTTTAGGGGACCAAAAAAGTAAATTGTCACTTTTTTGGTATGAAATTACATATCAAAAAAAGAATTTTAAAAAATGTTTGATTTAAAATGAAATTACATATATGTATTTATTAAAAAATATATGATTTTTTTTTAAATAACTATGACTCTCTGAGTTGCACGATATTAATGCTTTTATTTTATTTACAATTTTTTAATTACATCATTTTAAAAATATTAAATAACCCAAAAAATTTAAAATACTACTTTTTGTAAAAGTGATTACATTTTTCAAGTTTTTTTTATAGTTATCTCATATATTTTTCAAATTATTATATTTTTAACGTCATTTTAGGTCTAATATTACAATTAGTCTAAATAGTTCAAAATTTCATCAAACATTGTATGGTTGACATAAATGAATGATTAAGGTCCTTAAAACTAATATATTTTAATTAAGAGATCATTAAGAGGGATTATATCGTTGATAAAAATAAAATCAATGTATTGTAAATATCTTTTCATTATCAAATAAATATTTACTCATATAAATAACTTTTAAATTATATAATTTTAAAAATATCAAAATAAGTAAGATAAATTTATAATACTCATGCTTATGTATATAATAATTATAATAAGTATGAACATGTAATAATCTATACTATATTATAAAGCATTTGACTAAAACTCTTAAAAACTCTTAAAACTCTTAAAACTCTTAAACCCGTTCATCTCTATCCGATTTCATTCTATATTTGAATTCGTGTAACTAACTGCAGATAAACACAATCAAATACAGGATAAACATCTCATTTTAAATTAAATAATCTAAAATATAATTAGTATAATCATTAAATTCCAACAGAATACTTAATTATTACCTTTATAAAATTTATAATATTAAACCAAAAATAAATTGTTTTATTATTAAACTTAAATTAAATTATATAAAAAAAATATATTCTATATTATAAATCATTTGACAAAAACTCTTAAAAATATATATTCTATATTGTTTCTTAATATAAGTATTGATAATTGTAATAACCGGATCCTGGTTATTACCTAAGGTATTAAATACNTATGTATTAATATATAAAATAATAATAATAAAATATATTATATTATTTTATTTTATTGATTTTTATCTTTTTTATTAAGGTTCAAGTTCCAATTAAATTGGCACCCCTATCAAAGGGGTATCATTAACACTTCCCTTGTAAAAACTTTGAACCAATACAACAGAATATAACTCATCATCCCTAACCACCTTAAATCAACAATGTTTCTTTTAAAAAATATGGCTCATTACCAATATATTAGTGACAGAATATTTTAATAAAAAAAATCAAAATCTTGACTGGATTAGTGATTAATATTTTAACTAAGTTTATTATTTAATTTCCATTAGCTATCCATTCGTAAGGTTTACAATTTACAGACGAATGAAATACCAATAAACGTTATATATTAAAAATATGTATATAGAGGAGCGATCAAATGCAATCCACCCAATTTGTACAAACCGTGCAAACCATCTTCATCCGTCGATTTCATTGTTTAATCTTGTGAAATTATTTCATATAATATTTTTTTTTGATAAAGTTGTTTCATATATATGGTTATCAAATTGTTTCATATAATATTTAATGAAATTTTAATAAAACTGTTTCATATATTTCTCTAAAATTAAAATAATGAAGATGATAATATTCATGATTAACACCTTCCACAATAAAAATGATTAATCAACCTCTCATAATTACAAAAAAATGAACAAAATGAAAAATTATGATTGGTTGAATGAGGTTTGTACGGTTTGTAAAATAACGTGGTTTGCAAAGTAAACCTCTTTATGTATATATAATTGTACATACGGAATACCAAGGAATTATGATGGATTACTGCAAATTACCGATGAAAAGTAATCCGTCGGTAATCCATCATTGTTTTTGTCACTAAGCTTTGGTTAACGAATAGGACCCAAATCCTTTGAAAATCTCTTGGAAATTAGTACGTAAAATCAGGTGGTAATACTGTTTTTTCTTGTAGTGTTGTAAATACTCATACCCATATGCATGTATATATGGATATGTCCTCATGTGTTATTCCTATACAAATCTAGTTAAATATTTTATAATGCTATATATATATATATATATATATATATATATCATATCCAAATATGTTGAATAAAAATGGATCAATAATTATACGCACGTACATATATTCTGGATAAGGATGCACAGTGGGAATAATAAGTGTGCATGCAGATAGTGATTGAGCTGTTTGCAAGTTAGAGTTAGAGAGCATGGAATGTGGTTCTTTAGGCACCATAGTACATCTTAAAGGTGCATGATGTAGCTAATAAAGTAAACTGAAATGAAAGCACTTGTTAGGGTTGTATCTATGCTCTCCTTGTCATCCACCTCAGCCACTATGGCGTAGTACAATATTCATAAGTAGCGTAGGACCTCTTCTTTTTACATATTCATGCCCTGAAAGCTACCCTACAACTACTCCCATGCATGTGGTCCTAGTAAGTGGTCATAATTCCAGTACAAAAATGATGACAGCAGCTGTATGTAGAGGTCTGTGTGTGTGTGTGAGAGAGAGAGAGAGAGAGAGTGTGTGTGTGTCAAGACAAAGCTGTGTATAGATTTTGGACGGCATGTAAATATGGAAAATGAACAGTAGTCTTAGAACAAGGAGTACGAATTAGGAACATTACCATTTTCACGAAAAGGTTTAGTAATGGGCGTTGCAGGTGAAGAAATGATTAATTTGTAGTCTAGAGAAACATATATCGTTTGTTTTGCATATGTTTTCCACTTGAGTTGAATTTGATAAAATCCCTTATTTTATGTTTTTCTTTTCTAATAATATATATATATATATATATATAACCAAAAGGTATTTGTCCTAGAGGTATGTGAGTCTTTGTCCTCTTAGAAGGTCAGTGGTTAAAACTCATCAAAGATGAGGAGTGTGTGAGTTTATTTATTCCATTTGCTGTATATAAATACTTCAAAAACACACACACACACACACACACACACATATATATATATATATATAGTTGGGATCATGTGAAACAAAGTTGTTTTCGTGAAACACATGAGACAACATTTTTACACTTGAAACTTCACAACAAAACACTGTGAAGGTAACTTTCACAGTATTTTGCTGTGAAGGTTCGAATTCTTTTTACCTTCACAATATTTTGTTGTGAAGTTTCAAATGTAAAAATATTATCTCACGTATCTCACGAAAACAGGTCGTTCTCAGGTGAACCCAACCCTATATATATATATATATATATATATATATATAAATAACTATATTTGTATTCTTACATTCATATTATTTTACATCATTTTGATACAACTCTAATCAAAGTATCCAAGATAAGTATATTTAACAATCAATTCGGAGATAAAGCTAGGGCAAAGATAATAACGATTTGACAGAAGCATTTTAATTGGTAATCATTGATTATTTAGGTTACATATATAGTTTGACTTAAGTTGATGATATGATTGCATAAGTAAGCATTTTGTTTGTTTTACCTCCACCTCATCCCACCTACGCCATCATCTTTCCCACCCCTTTCATCTACCTCCACCACTAATCCCCTACATTCCAACAGGCATTCCAACTTATCATCTCGTGTCCAACATCCCAAAACCATCGCAAACTGAAGCTTCATTACCTTATGAGTTCAATATATATATACCAAACAGACTGCATCCTTTATTCAATAATGTCCAAATTTTTTCAGGTCTACAAATATCATCTTGAGAATTTTAGGTGCTAAATATAGTGTTATGGATAAAACATAACAAATGGGATTATGTAACTTGTTAAAGCTTAGCTGTTGTTTATAACCCATGCATTGCTTAGGTCAATATGTTTAAAAACACAAAATAAGGGGCCGTTTACGAAACACTTACCCGATAAGTGTTTATCGGGTAATTTTTTATCACCTATTGAACATGGTAAGGGCCGAAAATCTTACCCGGTAAGAGCAATGATAAAGATAGAGAGTCTTATCCGATAAGTGAATCTTACCCAGGTAAGCGTTTACCGGATAAATTGTTACATACGATACCGTTTTAATATGCTACAATCTTACCCGGGTAACCCTTTGATTGATCACTCTTGTTTAATTCTACTTGAGAGTGTGTATCATCAATCAACTTTTCCTTGGATAGAGGTGTTACCCTCTTGTTCCTTATACAGGAAGATCGTTTCGAAGAACTCTGCTTCCACATATTCTATAATTGTATTGTTGCTTATGTCATCTACATTAGATTTGTATACTAAGAACCTATATGCCACACTATTATGAGCTCGACCAATATATACACAATCGGTCTAAGTTTAGTCCCTTTTGGTAAAGGGACTAGAACCTTAGCAAGGCAACCCTAGACTTTCAATCTTTTCTAAGATGGTAATCTCCCTTTCCGTATTTCATAGGGAGATTTGTCAGTTTTCTTGTGGGGAATCCGGTTTAGGATCATATTAGCAGGAAGGCACGCCTCACCTCATAAATGCTATGGAGCTTCGAACGTGATCAACATTAAATTCATCATTTTCTCAATGTTCTATTCTTCCTCTCAGCCACTCCATTTCGTTGAGAAGTATATGGAGAATTTGCAGGGCCGACCTTGGCCACGTGCAGCCCGTACAGCCGCACATGACATCAAATCCTAAAGAAGAATCAAGTTGTCATCTATTACTAGATTTGGGTTTAATAATTTGGGAATTGTCAACTGAGCTTTAACTATAAAAAGAAGCCCAAGGCCTAGTAGTGATAAATACTGAATGCACATCGTGAACCGATTAAGGCCATCATTCCAACAACTCAATCTAATTTCCATTGTTCTTCAAAGTTCGACTATTTCGATTTTCAAGGCATGGAGTTCTCTTTCCAGCCAATTAACGGTCATGAAATTAGATTCAAGAAATCAAAGATGAAAATCTCGAATGACTGATTTCTACTGTTGATTGAACTTGCTTTGTGAGTCATATTATGATTTATGAATCTTTAAATCTTTTTGCAAAAAAAATCTAATTTCAACTGATTATTATAATGTTGGGTCACGTGGTCGTGTGGGTTACTGACCTACTAGGCTAAGGCTAAGGGGTTTTTGTCATTTTGATAATAAGTCTTCCTCTTGCATATTGAAATATTTGAGAATTGAAATTTTCAATGCACATGAGCACATCATTGTATCAACATAGCTGGAGCACACTGTACAACATTAACAACATGTGATATTATCTTAATTATTCGACACTTGTTCTTTGCCATGCACAGTAACATAGATTATGAATTTTACAATTTATTATTGTTCTTTTGATTTTTGTTTACTTTGAGGTTTGACATTACCGCATTAGATTCAGGGGCCGTTTGATTGGTTTTTTATTAAGTACTATATGGATAAAGTTGTCTGTATGAATTAATCTGTTTGTATAAATTTGAAATTTTTTTGTTTGAGAGAGTTTTTTCACAGATGTAAGGAGCAGTCTCATATATTGAAATAAAGTTTCTATTTTACAAATTTCAATTTGGAAAAAGAAAAACTGGAAAAGAAGGAAGCACAATCTTAATTCAAGATTTATCCTTTTATCATTCTATATTTTGTATTCGGGGTTTTGGTTTTTATGTCACCCCTTATTGTATATTTTTTTATTATAATTAATAAAATTCAATATGGGGATGAGACACTTAGCTTGAATAAGTTATAAACTCTTTAAAAAATCGCATGTTTCGTTGTTTCATTGACTTAAAAAAAATAGGCTTAGGGACATTTTTTATTATTTTCGCATATGACATAAAAAATCTTACGACTGACCCTGAGCGTTTGTCTAATGTACTATGTCATGTGTAGCACAAAGTTCTACAAAATCGTTGGATTCATATTCTCCTCCCCGATCCAACCTTAGAATTTTGATTTTCTTGTCGAGTTGGTTTTCAACTTCATGTCAAAGACCTTCCAGCCTAGTGGTAAAGGCTTGGGCATGGCATAGTCATGAACCCGAGTTCGAGCCCTGGGAGGGGAGTGTTGGCGACATTTAAGTGAGGTCATGTTTAGCCTCCAAATTTGCCAGGGATTAGTCGGGCTTTGACCCGGACACCCTTACAATTGGTTTTCAACTTCATCCTTGTAGTTTTTAAACATACACCATATTTATACATTTGGAAGAGTGAGTTGATTGATGATATGAGTAATTGTCATGGAATTAATGCAGGTGCAAAGCCTTATGTTTAGTTTCAATTATTTTGGCAAGAAGCACATTTAAGATTAGAGCAATAAGTACTTGTTTTTCTGTTTTTACATGGTAAAGGAAAAAGTGCAATAATTTCCTTACAAAGCACCAAGTTCATATTATATAAATAAAAAAGAAAGTACAAGTGAGCGAATAACACCATAAATTAGCAACAAACAATGATTCTTTAGTCCCTCTATATGAATAATACAGAGCATGTGCAATACTGCAATGATTGGTCTCTCTTTCTTCACCGAGTATATAGTGAGCTTTCACCATTTTGCTTCCTTTCTTGCAGTGAGATAAGCTCTGGGTTTGCAAGCTCAAATCAAGAAGGCCACTTTTCTCAAAGCTCCATTGATATACGTACAGTCAATACATATATCTAGAGGGTACAGTACGAAATAGATGTATCCCTCCTCCAACAGCAATCGCAGCTGCACAGCTTTCTCTAGTATTAACCAACCAACGACTTCTTTCTGCAACTACAACCATGAAAATCATTCAAAACCCTCTCAAGATCATTCCCAACCCCCATCGTTTGCCTCGTTCCAACTCTATTACCCTCATTACATCCCCTTAGAAGATGGACCTATGAGTCCTGAGTTTTTCCAACAACAACAGCCCTTCTCCAATCATAATAGCTACCACGACACTGGCGTTGTAGCTCATGAACACTCTACATGTGACACTACTAATGTGCAGTCCACCATGGAAAATTCTAACTACAATAACGGGAAATTTGTTACGGTTGATGGCAGAAATCAGCACGTCAACAGTCACGTGATTCTGGAAAATAGCTATCTAACGGGCAAGAGATCTTCCAAGAAAGACCGTCACAGCAAAATAAACACGGCTCGAGGCCCCAGAGACCGAAGGATGAGATTGTCTCTTGACGTTGCTAAGAAGTTCTTCAGATTGCAAGACATGCTTGGGTTCGATAAGGCCAGCAATACTATCGAGTGGCTTCTCATGAAATCAAAATCCGCTATTCAAGATCTCATCCCTCAACAGTTAAACCAGAGCAGCAGCCTCATGGGTGGATCAAACAGTGCATCATCTGCTTCAGAATGTGAGGTCCTGTCTGGATTTGATGATCAATCCATGGAGATAGCTGGAGAGGATCAGCTCATGGCAATAGATAAGGTAAAAGCAGCTTCTTGCAGCAGTACGAAAGAGAAGAAAAGTCTTGATAGAGGACTTAAGAAAAGTGCGCATATTCATTATCCTCTTGCTAAAGAAACAAGGGAGAAAGCACGAGCAAGGGCAAGGAAGAGGACAACTGAAAAGATAAATAACAAGCTGAGTGATGCTGGTTGTGATCAATATTCAAAACTTCGACCAAGTTTGGATCAGATAATGGATCAAAATGTAAACCGATTAGGATCTTGTATCAGCTTTAGAGAAAACCAAGTTCAAACTGATCAACCGCAATATCCAAGCTCCCGCTTTCAGTTAATTAAGCAAGGGGTTGTCGGTGATAATGCATCAGTGATTCCGGGAAGTTGGAGCCCATCTTCCTTGTTCAATTATCAGCATAATCCTGTACCATCTCATGAGGTGATACTGTATTTTCCATTAGTATAGATTTCTTAACTAGTAACTCGCTAGCAAGTTAAATATCAAGGCTAGCTAGATCACTCATAAAATAGGCGTTTACCAGAAATGATGTATATCATTGATTGGTACCCAATGTAAATTAGTGTACATAATCAGATCTATTTTTCTTCTTTTTGCAGCATGATCAATTAAGTGACTTTCAGATTAATGGTAAGCCATGGGAAGGCAACAACAACTAGGTCAGTGTTACTTCATCATATTATTACCACTTCTCTCCTGTATGTCAATTGTATTACACTGCTCGAGGTTACTTGATGTAATAAGCTTATGTGTAGATTAAAATCAATTCACAGATATGAATTTGTTGTTGTGGTTAGCAGCTTTTTATTTTGTTACTAATATTGTGATACTAATCCATGTTTACCATATATACCCCATGAGCTTGTATATTTTCGGTTCCTAATCAATAAAAACTACTTCTGATTATGCTGCTATAATATAATTTGGTCTCTTCTTCCAAGAGGAAGACATATCTCCCCCTCATTCAAGTAAAATGAGAAAAATTGATGGGATTTCCCTTGTCAATTATCTTGGATAAATTGAGATCAAGAGCCTAATCTCTAGTCTTTTTTGATCAAGTGTTGCTGGGAGACTTCGAGTACAGAAAAGTTAAGAGATGAAGTTGAAAAGTTCAGAAGCAATAAGTAATTGATTTTATACACTTCAAACGTATGTTCTGTGATTTGGCACCTTCTTAGGGTTTTACTGCAGGCTACTTTCAATTGGGTATATATAAATTTGAGATATGGAGAAATGGCAATCCAAGATACTAGAAGCTAACCACATATTGAAACATAGCACTACACTATCATCAAGGATCTATATAGAGTATTTAAAACAAATCACTTGATAATGTCTATTTACTTGATTGCTCCCATGTTCTGTTAAAAATTAATCTCTTTGTAATGTAATACGGAGCTGTGAAATTATGTTCTTCCCCATATATTGGTTCTATGCTGTTGAGAAATGGCATAAGTGACTTATGACAAAACTGCTATAGGCTTTGATTGGTATCCACTTTGAATTGGAATCGGAACTTTAGAGGATAAGATGTCTGCACTTATCCAACCGTACGCTTCGGAACAAATTGAGATTTTGAAAACATGAAGCAGAAAAGAGACGATAATTCATGCAATAAGGATATGATAGCATAATAGATAGAACCGAAAGCAAACACAACACTGTTATATAATCATATGTTACTTCTGTCTACTACCAATATCATTGGCTTTGTTAATCTGAGAGACCATAAACACCACATATGAACCTTTAATTTTTCGTAGAAATTAAGCATATGTGATACGATGAATATATATGCCTCCCTCCCAAGAGTTCTCAACAAAATCGTAATTGATAGCTCAATATTTCATTAGTCGTGGGTAAAATTAAGAGATTTCAAGTTCACCCTTTCCATTATGGGTTCACGGGGTCGGGGTCATACATATAGAGATTTTTCTATCGTTTTTCTCCCCGAGGTATCTAGACATGTAATACAACTTCGAAAGGTGTCATTATTCCTCATTAGGAGTTCAAACTTCCATGGGGTTGTTAACAAATTTAATTCTTCATAGGCAGTACCAACCCATGATCCTTGAACTTTTAGGACCCCAGTGTGCTATGAACTGCTTTTTGGAGAGAGAAGCTGCAGAAAGGATGATCAACAAGTGAATTTCAACAAGATGGCGCAGCCCAGAGTCTTCCTAGTGTCACAAACCAACTTTAATGTTATCTAGCTCATGATAGTTATAACAACATTTACTCTCTGTTCCCCCCTCCTTCCCAAGTGTCTCAGCTTAATTGATCAAGTGATCCGTTAGGTGACCCTTATTTTGAAGGAATTAAGAACCTTCCATAAAAATCTTAATTATTACAATGATTACTGGTTCCAGCTTTACTCTTAAAAGGAAATGTTTCACATGTTACCAATAGGAGTTGTGCCATGGTACGTTTTTGGATATTTTGCTAAGAATAGGCAAGCTATGTGATCTAAGACTCGATGGTTACCAGGTTTAGGGATGAAAGATTTTCTTTTTCTTTTTTTAAGTATATAATATTTGTATACGTCAAATACTCACACACACTCCTCACCTTTGAGGAGATTTGGACCTTTTATCTCGTGGCTATACCTGTAACCAAGGTACTTTCGTTTCAGGAATGAAAGACTTGGTTGGTGATGGTCCTTCCATTACATATATAATTCCTGAAAGACTTGGTTGGTGATGGTCCTTCCATTACATATATACCACAATGATGTGCTAGCTGTTATTTGAACCCATGACTTACCAGTGTTGTTAATAAGTTAGAAAAAACTGTGTTGGTGCACGTTTTCAGCTATTTTTGTCATATGCTATATATGTCAAAAAAAGTGTTTTGAGGAATGTTAGGTGATAGTAAAACTGAGACTTCAGGATACATGCATGTCGAAAAAATACCTCAAATCCTCTCCTGCTGGCCTGGCAGCACCACGCCAAATTAAGCCTCAAAGGCTGTGTTTTGGATGATGCTGCACCACCGTGAAGTGTCATGTATGCTAGATCTGACGCGACTTCATGCTTGTGTAAAAGTCTCGTTAGGCTACTTTAGGCAAACAGGTTAAGAACATGTGCAAGCTCAAGCTCGCACACAAAGTGGCTTTCGATCCCAGATGGGTTTTAGTGGATAAGTAGGCCTTGTAATGCTCAACATACTCCCAATGTGTATATACTTCTCGTTTTGATATAATTGATTAATTGTTCGATCGCATAAAACTTATATCAAAAAACTGATGTTTCGTCAACGAAGTCGAAGATAATATTTATATTGGATGCTTACAACAGATTGACCGACAAGAAGAGCCTTTGCCAAGTAACACATCGTTTAGCCTAGGATTTAATCCAAAAAAGTCATTGAGATCTATTACATGAACATGTTGATGCACCAAAGCCTATGGTTGATCATGGTCACATATGACATATGTACTTAAAAGGGCTACATGCTGAGTAAATAAAAGTAATTTCCTAAGAAAATATGTATCTATTCGACTATTATTAAACCAAACCAAATGAGTCTAATATATCATCATGGAGGGTGGGATCGATGTCTGCAGATATTGACCTTTGATCTAAAAGAATAGAACGTTTGTTTTCATGTTTTGCAAATTATCCGCAACATTGAAGTCAAGTCTTTAAAAAACAACTTGATGCGACTTGTTTTGTTCATTATCTATTTGCAATGGATCTCACGTAGCTGAGTGAAAAATCTACTAATTAAGAAAGGCATAAATTAAAGATTGATTAGAAAGTATGTATCGCACCACCACACTTGAGTCGAACAGTAAGGGGTTGTTTGTTTAACTCTTAATAGTTTCATTGATAGACAACTTCTGAATCGTCAAAAGATGAATCTTGTTTAGCAAAAAAAAAAAATCTGCATTTTAATGGTTCTAAAACCATCAGAATGATTTTGTATCTTGCGCCTCCCTTAACCATTCATCCCTAATTACATTTTGAACAATTATCCAACAATTATCCCTAAAACTTCCTTCTCTAAAACCATTTTCCCTTGTAGTATCTTAATTATTCTGCACCATTTAATCATTTTATACCAAACCATTCATTAACTACAAAATAGTCTTCCGTTTATTCTTACGGATGTTCTCTATTCATCAATATCAGTGAATCATCTGGTAGTATTAAGCTATGTCTTGAAATAATACCGGCAACAATTAAAACAATCAACTCACTTAACCCTAACATGTTACAAAATAAAAAACAATTAGGCTTTCAGTAATAGACCCTAACCCTAATGATTAACAAAAAATTACCAATTAGATATCAACCGACAAATTCCTAACCGTAATGATTAACAAAAAATTACCAATTAGATGTCAACTAACAAATCCTAACCCTAATCGTAAGTCCTAAATAATTAAAAATAATAATAAAAAAATAGTGATATATTATCAACTAACAAACCATAAAAAAAGCCCTAACAATTAACAACTTAGGCATCGACTAATTAACAAACTCTAACTTTAACAATTAACGATTAACAAAAAAAAATTAACAATCAAGTATCAATTGATAAACCTTAACTTTAACAATTAACAATAAACCATTAATACAATAAACAAATTATCAAAGTAATTCTAAATGAAACTAAGCTAATCTTTTTTGAGGGGTCAAATCCTATATTTATTGGGGTCAAAGCATTATATATATATATATATATATATATATATATATAGAGAGAGAGAGAGAGAGTTTGAAATGCAACTCATTATATTTGTATAATCAATGCAATTTAATAAATTGAAATATTTATAGAAATGATGAGAGTTCATTTATTATGATTTAAATATTTATAAAAGATGAATAAGATTCATTAATTATGATCAATACTTTATATTAAGAAACAATCAAAATTTTTATAAAATTACATATTCATCAAATTAAATTGACGGTTAAGATTGAATTGTATTGGTTGTATAAATGTAAAGAGTTGTATAATAACCATATATATCTATACTATATTATAATGCATTTGGCTAAAACTCTTAAAAACTCTTAAACTCTTAAACTCTTAAAAACTCTTAAACCCGTTCATCCCTATCCGATTTCATC